CTAATCTACAATTGTAAATTCCCCTACCTCAAAGGATTGCTAAATCCACAACTGTAAACTGCTGGGTATAAAGTTTTGTTATTTCCCTTGCTTGGGACTGCTCTCCTAGGATTGCATCCAGGGGACAGTCGCCGGCCGGCTCCAGTAAATGCTCTCTATTTTCTAATTTGGCGTGTGTCTGGTTACTCTCGGCCCGTCCATTTCATTTGGAGGTTCCACCGAGATCGCCCTCTGGGCACCAGACACGGGCATCTCTGGAAGGCCAGGCTTCTCACCGTCCAGGGGGTGGCCACCAGGAAGACGTTCCCTGGCCCCGAACGCTGAGATAGCCCGTGCGTACCAGGCTGCCCAGACCACAAATCCTCAATTGGGCATAGAGCAATCTGTAATCTGTCTGTTCTGGTGAGTACTCTTCTGAAGTAAGTGGCCAGGCTGGACGCAGCTGCAACGCCCTTACTGACCTCCAGGGACGCCGTGTGAGAGTCCTGCCTGTCTGATTGTGTCTGTCCGGCGCCGATGTCACTGTGTGTGTGTGTGTCCACTGTGCGCTCCGTGGCGGGGTGGGGGAGAAAGACTTCCTGCCTCATTCTCCAGGTTGTTCGGAACTGAGACGGGTTTGTTCTCCGCTACTGTGTCAGGAGCATCCAGGGTTTTGACTGTGTCTTTTTTTTCCGTTTTTGTGTCGACTGTGTGTGCGCGTCTATCTACTATTTGTTCCGTGAGGGGGGGTGTAAATTCCTGTCTCATTGTCTAGGTCGTTCGGAATTGAAGCAGTTTGATTCCCCTCTACCCTGTTTTGACTGTGTCTTCCCTGTGTCCGTGTTTGGTCCTTGCTTACGTGAGCACGTCTATTTGTTACTCTTTTCTTTCTCAGTCCTTAATCCACCATGGGACAAGGACCCTCGAGCCCTAAGCCAGGCTCCCCTCTCTTTATTGTCTTACGGGACTTCAAACAATATCGGCGTATAGCAGAAGGTTATGGGTTTCAGGTTACTAAAAAGAAATTAGCTCTCCTTTGCCAACAGGAATGGCCCACCTTCGAGGTAGGCTGGCCCCCGGGGGGTACGTTTGACGTCTCGGTGGCCGGCCGGGTCAGGGGAATTGTCTATGGTATACCTGGCCACCCCTATCAGGTCCCCTATATCACCGCCTGGATTGATTTCAAACCCCCTTCGGGACCACTACAGGTCCAGGCCCTTTCAAAACTAAGACCAGGAACGGAATCAAAGACGACCTTTAGCCGCAAGCCTCCCGAAAGTCCTAAGGTTGTCACGCAGCTTACTCCTGTCTTACCACCCCCTGATTCTGACCCCCTAGATCCAGCTGAGTACTCCCAGTCCCAGGTTTCAGATCCACCCCCGTACCCAACCTCAGGGTCTCTGAGCCCCTCAGCCCCTCCTCTGATAAGTCCACCCCATACTCGAGCAGGTGCTCCTTATGGCCCTTCTAATTCCAGTTTGACCCCAGATTCCACTGTGTCAGCGTTTCCCCTGCGGCAAGTTCCTTCCCCTCCCGGAGAATCAGGGAGACCGTTCATGGTATATGTTCCCTTCTCCACCAGTGATTTGTACAATTGGAAACAGCAAAACCCATCCTTCTCTGATAAGCCCCAGAGCCTAATCTCCCTCCTAGAGACTGTCTTTTATACTCATCAGCCCACCTGGGATGACTGCCAGCAGCTCCTCCGGGTTCTTTTCACAACCAAGGAGCATGACAGGATTCTTTTAGAAGCCAGGAAGGGAGTTCTGGACCCAGATGGACATCCCTCTACTGACCTGGGGCGCCGCAACCACATCTTCCCTGAGAACCGGCCCGACTGGGACCCCAACACTGATCGCGGTAGGGAAGCACTGGACAGGTATCGCCAGTTATTGCTGGGAGGGTTACGGGCAGCAGCACGGAAGCCAACTAATATGTCCAAAGTCAGTGAGGTTAAACAGGGCAAGGATGAGTCCCCAGCTGCATACTTAGAGCGCCTCTACGAGGCATATCGAACCTACACCCCTATCGACCCAGAGGATCCCAATAACCGGAGAGCCATCGTAATTGATTTCGTAGCCAATTCAGCTCCGGACATCCGTCGGAAGCTACAGAAACTTGAAGGTTTTGAGGGTAAAAATCTGACTGAACTCATGGAAGTGGCTAAGCGGGTGTTTGACTATCGTGAAGAGACTCAAGACAAGCAAACTCGCACGGTCGCAAGGGCGGTAGTGGCAGCTTTAGCACAGGTTCCAGGGGAGGCTCAGAAGCAAGGGTGGAAAGGAAGGCGGGAGGGGCCAAACGCTGGGCGCCCCTATAAGGGTAAAGGCTTGGGAAGGCCTCCTTTAGCTCGGGATCAGTGTGCTTACTGCAAAGCCATGGGTCATTGGAAATCTGAGTGCCCTAATCGCGGGCTGAAAGAGAAGGCAGAGCCGTTATTGACTTTGAATACAGACTAGGGGTGCCCCGGCTCAAAGTCCGTTGTGACTCTTGACCCCCTGGAGCCGAGGGTTACTCTCAGTGTTGGGGGTCAACCTGTCTCATTCCTAGTCGACTCTGGAGCTGCGGCATCGGTCCTGAAATCCCCACTGGGCTCCCTCTCATCGTCCACTGTGCAGGTCCAGGGAGCTACTGGACGAAAACAGTCTGTACCCCTCACCACTTCTCGGGAAGTCCGGTTAGGGAAGGGCCTAGTCTCCCATTCTTTTCTAGTAATGCCTGATTGCCCTTACCCCTTGCTTGGCCGAGATCTCCTACACAAGCTTCAGGCTATCATTTCCTTTAAGGGACCTAACCCCACTCTCGGGTTTAACCTGCCACAACTTGTTCTCACCTGCCCGTTGTCAGAGGAGTCTCGCCTCCTCCCCCTAACGTTTTCCCCAGACCGCCCCTCGACCACCTCCACCCCTACCTCCCTAACTCTGTTGAACCATTTCAAAGGCTTGGTTCCTGGAGTCTGGGCTGAGACCAACCCGTTTGGTCTAGCAGGACACCAGCCCCCAGTGGTGGTCCAGCTCTCGTCCACAGCAACCCCTGCGCGTGTCCAACAATACCCGTTGACTCGAGCTGCCCTTTTTGGCATCAAGCCTCACATCGATCGACTCTTGGCGGCAGGCATTCTACGACCCTGCCAGAGCTCGTGGAACACCCCCCTACTTCCAGTTCGCAAGCCCAGGTCTGGAGACTTCCGTCCTGTCCAGGATCTACGAGAAGTCAACGCCCGGGTGGAAACTGTACATCCTACTGTGCCAAACCCATACACGTTGCTATCTTCCCTGGACCCTGCTCGGACTTGGTATACTGTTTTGGACCTGAAGGATGCTTTCTTTTCCATTCCCTTGGCACCAGTAAGCCAACCTATATTCGCTTTTACTTGGACAGATCCTAACACTGGGACATCCTCTCAGCTCACCTGGACCCGGCTTCCCCAAGGTTTTAAGAACTCCCCTACACTTTTTGGCTCAGCTCTGGCCTCCGACCTGGCCGCCTTCCGGGTCTCGTATCCGGAGGTCACTCTCCTCCAGTATGTTGATGACCTTTTGTTAGCTACTTCCTCTGAGGCAATATGCAAAGATGCAACTCTCCACCTTCTCCAGCTGCTTGAAGCTTCCGGCTATCGTATCTCTGGAAAGAAAGCACAACTGTGCTCTCAATCCGTTGTTTACTTGGGTTTCACCCTTCATTCTGGTCAAAGGTTACTGTCTCGGGGGCGTGTAGCTGCCATTTTGGGCATGCCCGCCCCGAGGGACCGCCGCGGGCTCCGGGAATTCCTGGGGATGGCTGGATACTGTCGCCTCTGGATCTTGGGGTTTGCCGAGGTTGCCAAACCCCTATATGAGGCCCTAACTGGTGAACCCACCCAATTTGTTTGGGGACCACGGCAGCAGGAAGCATTCGACAAGCTCCGAAAGGCGCTGTCCAGCACGCCTGCCCTCTCCCTGCCAGACCTGTCCAAGCCCTTCCGCCTCTATGTGTCTGAGTCTCGAGCTGTGGCCAAAGGGGTTCTGACCCAGCCCCTGGGGCCCTGGAATCGTCCTGTTGCCTATCTCTCCAAGCAGCTGGACCCTGTGGCTTCCGGGTGGCCCTCTTGCCTGCGAACTGTGGCGGCCGTTGCCGTCTTGGTTAGGGAAGCCGCAAAGCTCACTTTCGGGCAGCCTCTTGAGATTTCAGCATCACATCATCTGGAACAGCTTTTACATTCCCCGCCGACAAGATGGATCTCAAATTCACGCCTGACTCATTACCAATCCTTACTCCTAGATTCCGCGCGCATCTCTTTCGCTCCTCCGGTCACACTCAACCCGGCCACCCTGCTCCCTGACTCCCCTCCTTCCTCCCCTATACATGACTGCCTGGACACACTGGACTCCATCCACACGTCCCGCCCTGGACTTACTGATGTTCCTTTAACAAACCCCGACCTAGTGCTCTTCACAGACGGCAGCAGTTTTGTTCAGGAGGGGATCCGTAGGGCGGGTACAGCCGTGGTCACTCCGGTTGAGACCCTCTGGGATACCGCTCTACCCCCTGGCACATCTGCTCAACGTGCTGAACTCATTGCCTTAACTCAAGCCCTTAGACTCTCTGCAGGGAGGCGAGTAAATATTTACACAGATAGCCGCTATGCCTTTGCCACTGTTCATATCCATGGATATGTATATCTCCAAAGGGGTCTGTTAACCTCGGCGGGAAGGGAGATTAGGAACAAGAGTCAGATCCAGGACCTGCTGGATGCTGTCTGGCTTCCCAAGGAGGTGGCGGTAATTCATGTTCCTGCTCACACCCGTGGAACTGACCCCCAGTCTCTAGGGAACGCAGCAGCTGATAAGGCTGCCCGAGCGGCTGCCTGCAAACCCTTGATACCCGCTATGGTCGTGGAACCTGAGGGGATGCTTCCTGTCCAACCATCTTATCAATTCAGTGATCCGGATGGCACCCCTGAAAAGGGGGGATGGAGAAGACACCCAAATGGCTTGCTAATTCTGCCCAAGGCACTGTTGCTACCCCTATTGATGACTCTTCATAGCCTTACCCACTTAGGCGGAACCCGGCTTTACGACCTGGTGAGCCGACACTTCTACAGCCCTGGGATGAAGCAGGCGGCCGAGGAAGCCGCAAGAAGGTGCCTTGCATGTGCCAAAGTCAACCCACGATCACAATCAAGGATACCAACTGATAGACCACGAGGAACATTTCCTGGCGACCATTGGGAAGTAGACTTTACTGACATGGGAACTGGGTTGGGAGGGTACCGTTTTCTCCTTGTATTCGTGGACACATTTTCTGGATGGCCAGAAGCATTTCCAGTCAAAACTGAAACTGCAACCGTAGTGGCCAAAAAGCTGTTCTTTGAACTTATTCCTAGATTTGGCCTGCCGGCCTCGATAGGCTCTGACAATGGCCCAGCATTTGTATCTGCAACAATTCGAAGCCTATCAAAGATGCTGGGATTGAAATGGAAATTGCACTGTGCATATAGGCCTCAAAGTTCAGGGCAGGTAGAAAGGATGAATAGAACTCTAAAGGAACACATTGCTAAACTTAAAATAGAAACTGGCGATAGCTGGGTCAGTCTCCTTCCCTTCGCCCTCCTCCGGGCCCGGTGTACTCCCAATTCCTCAACCCTCTCTTTATCTCCATACGAGATCCTCTATGGAGCCCCTCCTCCTATTATTCCAAGAGTATCTGCAGCTATTTCAGCCCCAGATTTTACTAATCCGACTCTTCTTAAGTCCTTCCAGGCTTTGCGTGAGGTCCAGAACGCTGTGCGCTCGGTCCTGAAAGCTGCGGGGAAAGAACCAGCCCCTGCAACCTCATCGGACGCCCTGTCACCGGGAGACTGGGTCCTCACTCGCAAGCTTCCAGCTGGACCAGCCCTGGAACCACGGTGGACGGGCCCGTATCAAATTATCCTCTGCAACCCCTCTGCCGTCAAGGTTGCCGGCCGCAAGGCATGGATACATCGGTCACACATCAAGAAGGCCCCAGAGCCCAACTCCACCGCCTGGACAGCAGAAGCAGTGTCCGACCTAAAGCTTCGACTCTCCAGAACTTGACTCTTCTTCTCTTTCTTTTTGCTTGTGAGGTGACTTTGGGTGACCCCTACAGCCCTACCCCATCCAGGTGGATTCTCTCCCGAACTAACGATGGGACCACCGTCCAAGCTCTCACCAGTTACGGAGCCCCCACTTTCAGGTTTGACCTCTGTGCCCTCTTGGGACCAGGATGGAATCAAAACCGGGCTATGCGGGACCCTATCGCTGGGGGATGGGGATACTGCCCCACTTTTCCCACCACTCCAACCATACCCGGGGTAGGGGAAGTGAGAATCAGAAGTATTGAATTCTATGTTTGTCCGGCCACGGGGAATCCTTCCTGTCAGGGTAGTAATCACTTTCACTGCGCAGAATGGGGTTGTGAGACTGTGGCCAGGTGGATTCCTAGAGGTGGCCGAGACCCCCTAATCACCCTGGAGAGACAAAGCCCCCTCCCTGCCTCCTGCTGGCCTGGGAAATGTAACCCTATGATTCTAACAGTCAAGCAGGACACTGATGACTCTTGGAATCTCGGACATTCTTGGGGTCTGAGGTTATACATGACTGGATGGGATAACGGGGTCCTTTTTACCATTCAGAAAATCGCAGTTTCCACCCATACACTCCCCATAGGACCGAATCCCATCCTTAACCCACAAACCATGTTGACTCTCACCCCACCATCTGTTAGGGACCTGGTACCAGAGGCTCCCGAAAATCCAGAGACCCTCACTAACCTAGGTTCCCCCATTTTTGATACACTCTCTGCTGTCCAATCATTCCTAAATTTGTCTGATCCAAACATAACCACCTCCTGTTGGCTGTGTCTGAATCCAGCTCCCCCCTATTTCGTAGGAATTGCTATCGAACTCAACATCACCTCTGTGGGAAAGTTGTCTTTAAGTAAGTCCAAACAATCCTCTGCCATACCTGCCCGCTGTAACCCAGACAAGCCTAGACTTACCCTAGACGATGTCCAGGGCAAAGGAATGTGTTTGCTCGGGCCTGACTACCCGCTGCGGTCCTCCCCATTCAATGCTACGTGCACTTCAGTCATTCTTATTTCCCCCACATCCAAAAGCTCTGACCTCCTGTTAACCGCCCCACCTGGAGTATGGTTCGCTTGTACCAGAGGACTCACCACCTGCATACAGGACATTCGTTTCCTCAACCCGACCGAGCTCTGTGTAGTGGTGCGTGTCTTTCCTCAGGTATATGTCTACTCAGAGGAAGGGGCAGCTGAGCATATTGGCTTAACTCGCTCCAGGAGGGCTGTACCCTTTTTGGTTCCCATACTGGTGGGACTCGGAGTGGCCGGCTCCGCTGCTGTTGGGGCCTCAGCCCTGATACAGGGGAAAGCCAACTACGGTGCCTTGAGTGCACAGGTAGATAGGGACCTACGCTCCTTGGAAGAGCTAGTCTCACACCTTGAGACTTCCCTAGACTCTCTGGCCGAAGTGGTTCTCCAGAACCGCCGAGGCTTGGACCTACTGTTCCTCAAACAGGGAGGCTTATGCATGGCGTTGGGAGAAACCTGCTGTTTCTACGCCAATCGGTCTGGAGTTATTCGGGAGTCCTTGCAAGCCTTTAGGCAGCGGTTAGATGAGAGGGACCGCGCACGGGCAACGGGGTCTTTTTGGTATCAGACCCTATATAATTGGTCCCCCTGGCTAACCACCCTACTCTCCGGAGTGGTGGGCCCTCTGGCCCTTCTCCTCCTTGGGTTACTCGTGGCCCCTTGTCTCATAAAATGCATCACCCGCTATGTCCAGAAACGAGTGCAAGCACTCCAGTTGTTTGTCCTGCGTCAATCCTATGCTCCTCTGGACTCTGATGAGTCCCCCGTCTGACTCTTTTCGTCCGTGAAAAGGGGGGAGTGAAGTGGACTGAGTTGTCACAAAAAAAAAAAAAAAA